TCAACATACTGAAGGAGACATACTCCAGGTGGGAGAACAAGATTCTTCAAGTATTGTCTCAGAATGTGATTAAAGATGGATGGACTGTCAATAAAACCCATAGGTAGCCATCGATAAGTGAATTTTTGTCCTTTATACATGAAAGCAAACATATCTTGTGAATCTCTATGTAGCGGCACCGAGAAAAAGGCATTTGCAAGATCTATGCATGTGAAAAACTTGTGTTCAGAGCTTATTGCATTCAACATGGTGTATGGATTTGGCGTGGCATAATTAGTCTGAACCACAAGTTTATTGTTTACTCTGAGATCATGAACCATCCTGTAACTGGACACTACTGCTGAGAACCTCAACTCAAATCAACAAAATAAAAATCTGTTATTATCTTTCATGTACATTTTCTGTGAAAAACATACCCTACATTTGTAGAACTACAGTATAAACAGTAATACGAAAGAAAAATGTTCTGTGAGTCTCTGTGGAGGGGCACACAGAAGAAAGCATTTGCAAGGTCAATGCATGTGAAAAACTTGTGTTCATGTTGCATTCAACATGGTGTATGGATTTGGCGTGACATAATTCGTTGGCACCACAAGTTTGTTTACTCTGAGATCATGAACCATCCTGTAATCAGGTTTTCCTGCCTTTGGAACCGGATGTATGGGCGTGTTCCAGGGAGAATGAGTAGGAGTCAGAACTCCAGCTTCCAAAAATCCATGAATGGTTTTCTCAATACCACTGACTTGCTGCTGTGTGAGCGGGTACTGGGCTCGATACACAGGCACAGCCCCCTCACACAAAGTGATCATGACTGGGTCCACTGTGAGTACTCCCACGTCCTTGGAACCAGAGGACCAAAGAAATGAAGGCAAACTGTCCAACAATGTTTGTGTCAGTGGATGATCAATGTTTTCTCTGTTATGATTTCTGTTCAGTAAACACTTCTCCAGTGTTAATGTGAGCTTTGAATCATGCTCAATAGCATAGCAGTGTGTTGAAGGAGAGAACTGCAACTGTCTATTCTGTGTGCACATCCAGTCAGTAGCCGTTAAACAGCTATGAACCATAGGGCCAAGGTTTTTTGCATCAGCTCCATCTCTCACTAACAAAGTGATGTGAGGAGCAGAATTTTCAGACAGCATGTACAAGCTTTCAAGGTCCCCTGGCAAATGGGCCAGAGCTGCCACGCCCTCAGGCACAACATACAGCTTTTTCACATCAACTGTATTTTTCCTCTCAGACATCTCTATCCCCTGGATAAAGCCGTCCCAGAGCGCATTATAATCATCATTTTCATCACCACACAAGGAATAATTAAGAGTACAATGCATGGCATCAACAGGTTCAGTGTACTTGTGAAGGATTGAAATCCATGGAAGCCATAGATTGAATGTATGTACAAGATCAGTGTTTTCAGGAGAATTCACAAGTCCCCACCAAACATCAGCTGAAGGATCAAGCTGCATGTCAACACCAGAGGGCGTGGTCTGCAACATCGGTCTGAATATGGCTTTTGGAGTAGCACACCTTTGAACAGAACCGTCTGGAAAAGTGATGTCCACATGGCTTGATGACATCATCATGGTAACATTCAGAGAACACAAAATATCACATGCAAGAAGATTAACGGGACAAGATGGAGAAAGTAGAAATGAATGATGAAATGAAAAATTATTCCATTTACAAGGAACTTCCTCAGAGAACGGCCACTCCTCTTTCAAACCTGAGAAGCCGATAACAAATGTAGTACGCTTTGAATGTGGGAGTGGTGAGTTTAAAGTGGAGTATCTTGCTCCTGAGTCAATTAAGCACAAATGGTCTCGACCGTTGATAGTCGCTGACTAGTGATTCGAGAAACATTGTCTGTGAACTCTGAGAATCACCTGTTACAGACTTTCGGCAGCCCTATTGCTGAGGCATCTGATTAGATCCTGGTGCCTGATACGGAGCTTGAGGTGTATATGGTAGTACATTATTAACCTGAGCAGGATATGATCCTGCTGGTCCTGGCACCTGCTGATAAAGAACTGGGCAGTTTTGCGCCCAGTGTCCTCTCTTACGACAAACCAGACATGTGTCATCTCTCACAAAATTTCTCCTATTTGCCCTCAACCCTCGACCACGTGCTCATGATATGTCGTGATTCTGAAAGCCACCACTCCTGGGCTGTGTATTCCAAGAGCGGGACTGCGGCTGTCCAGGTGCAGGTGTTTGTGCGTTGTGTAAAGCAGCAGAAGGCTGTGCATACATCTGCTAAGCAGCATCGTACTGATTAAGTTTATCTCTCATCTCTTTAAGTTGTACTTTTGTCAGCTGTGCTTGTAAAGATGAGAGTTCCTGTTCCTCTTTTTCTCTATCTTCTTTATCATTGTCAACATACTGCATAATATGACCTGCCCACTGCTCAAACGGGAGAGCACTTAAGCCAATTACTTGTTTCAATAATTTCTGGATATTCACAGAAAGGGAAAACTCAACCGCACTGCAGAACAACAAACACTTTCAACTAACGCAGGGTCTTCACCACTGTAGTTATGCCACAATTCACACACTCTAATGAGATACTGGCTTCCTGTCTCCTCAGGCTGTGGAGGAATAAGAGACAGCTTGACACGCTGGGCTCGTAGTGGATACTTCATCCTGACCACAGGCCAGAGGTCATATATTACAGTGTGAAGTGAGACTGAGTCCTCATCTCCATCTGTGTTTGCCAAGGCTTCAACTGACTGTAACATACTAAGAGAACTACAGGCTGTGAATATGCGTCTGAAATCACCCAGCGCTGGCAGGCAGCCAGTGCATGCAGTCAAAAACGCCTTAATCCACGGAGCCCCCCCTGCTCTAATGGCGGAAGCTGACTTTTAATAAGTGATGTGTCTTGAAGAGTGAACGGTGTGTATGTCATTGTGACTCCACCCTGCGCTGTCTCCATCTGGAGAAGTGGCATTTGAGTCGCAGGTCGCTCCAAGCAGTCGTGTATATTGCCTCTGTGTTTATTTTTACGTCTCAAAGCGGAAGTACAAGTGCTGTCTTCCTGCAAGGAAGCTCGTGCTTCCTTCCTACCATTTTTTTCAAATTCAGCCAAAAAACAGAGACAGTCCTGAAGAAATGTCTCGCAGTGTTTAACTTTAGGCTCTGTTTTGTGTTTTTGTAGCAAAGATGCTGGCACAACCGTGCTGTGGCCGTTGAGTGGGCCGCTTGTTTGATATATAGTCTTATAGCTCCCTCTTCTGGGGGAGCCTCGTCATAGGCACCAAACATTCCCTTTTCAATCATTTTTTCAGACCATTCAATAAATCTCTTTGTTTCACTACCATATTCATTTAAACTCAATGTGGCCAGCCATTTGCTGGTACAAAATAGAACCTAATGAGCCAAGACGGGCATTTCTTCCAACCCTGAATAATATCACAATCAGCCATAATTAAAAAAAATAATATGCCACACGTGACGCTTGTCCATTTATGAGAGGTTCCTGGCTCAGTGCCAACGGCCATCCGGCGAATCTTCTACGTCAGACTGGTTCTGATGCGTGCTGGACCTCGGGGTTACCCCAGCCGGAAAACACAGTTTTATCTCAAAAGGACAGTGGCACCATAAACTAATATGCAATTCCCCAGTAAACCTCTTTCCACCCGGACACCATACACTGCTGTACAAGGCACGTCAAATCCACAATGAATTCTCACAGTCGAACCTAAATTGTTCAGCTGTGATACACTTGTGGACAGCATTTTAATTAGCCTGTTGTACAGTTAACCTTCCCACACATTTCATGAGCAAAACAGCTGGCGATCTCCCTGTGCCGTTATTACGTGTGGAATATATCAGAGCATCTGTTTGGTTGAGATGACTCTCTGCTTATTCTCCAGCCGGAGGGAAATTTAAAAGGAAATGGGAAATTTGGGGAGACAACTGCTACTAAGTAGCAGAAATTCACTTATAAAACGTGAATTTTATGTCCCTTATTGATATCAAATTCTGTAATCACGGCACTCATTCACCATCCCTCAAAAAATGAGTCTATGTGCTTGTTAACTGTTACATGTGACAGGGAACAAATCAGCACATTATTCAAAAACAAAAAAAAGTGTTTTATTATCGTTACTGTTTTGAATCCAATTTAAAGCGTCGAGAGTGGGCAGTCCACATATCAACACAATTTGGTATAAGTTCAATGTGCAGGAATTTATGTATAAACAAAGGTTCCCACTCACCTGTTTGTGGTCGACCCAGTTTGATGTGTGGCATCGCAGCACAGCTCAACAGAGAACCAGCGAGTCACTCTCTCGTCTGGAGAATCTCAGCCAAAACAGGACCGAATGTCGGATTCTCAGCTCAGCCTGGCACAGGATTTCGGCATCGTCTGCTGGTCCGGGACTATGGACCGGTCGTCTGGAGAGTTCAGTAGGCTCACGTTGTCACGGCCCCTACCTTGTTGTATTCCGGTTCTTTGTACCATGCTAACTCTGAGAGACGAGGCAGTCCAAGTAGCTTCAAAACAGTGCTGATTTATTCCATGAACACAGGTAAAAATTAACATTACACGCTCAGGTATCTTGCACCTCCAACATGCACGCAGGCAGTTGAAGGATGAAAGACCCCGAACCCAACAGGCCTGTACATTATATTGCTTTGGGCTAACCTCATTCTACAGGACAGGACATTTATTGACATGTCATGACATTAAGCATAAGAAGATATTATAATTACGATTATGATTAAACACGTCATACAGTAATCAACTTTCTATCTAGTTATCCTTGAACATAAACAACGAGTCCCCCATGGGAATGACAAAGCATTTTAACAGCCTAAGCTAGAAATCCTGTCTACACTAAACATTCCTAATACAACAAGTACCTAACCAATATCTATCTGACTAAAAATACCTAACAATCTGAAGAATAACTGTAATTTTGAACCTTGTCAAGATGGGTGTTCAAACTGAGCATTCAGAAGATGTCCAGTAAAAGCATCAAAAACCTTTGATTCCGGCTGCTCGATGGACCAGTTTTTCAACATGTGCCACAGACTGCAGTCCTTGGCATGTCTGCATTTTGTGAGATGACCTTGGAGGTATATTCCTTATTTTACCTGTGTCGTTCTTTGTAGTCGTTATTGTATAATTAATGTTACTGATAGTTCACCAATGACAGTATCTTATTTTTGTTTTCATTATCCACTTCATGTGCTGATACAATCTGTGTCACAGAGCGAGTGAGGAGTGTTTGCTTTTGGAAGGCAGGTGTCTGTCATTCAGTGGTGCGATAATCCCACTGGAAACCACATCTATTTATACCTCCTCCCTCCTCTCAACTGCGTTTAGTGCTTGTGGCTCCACAGTCTGAGCAGCAGCATGGAAACATCCTGATCTCAACTAACGTGATTCAGGTACTGGTTTAAACTCCTTCTGTAATCGTTCATTGTCTGTCTGTACAAATATGTTGAGTGTTTATCACTTTGAAACTGCAAATAGGGATAAAACTAAATGGGCTGGGATTAGTCAGAGGGATTTGGTTTTTAAGAAATCAAGTGGTAAAAACAAATGCTCTTTGTTGCAGATTTAATCACTGAGACAAGAAAAGCAGCTACATGTTACTTTAAGTCCTTTGGTTATCATGTATAATCAGTACATGACTATAAATACTTTCTAATTATATAATATGTATTCATAAATAAAATTAATAGGTGCTAAACATCACTAGACATTTAAAATCTTTTAAAAGTTGTGGGTGCAAATATTTATTCTGTAAAACTGATTTTGGATTAAAGAATGTCAGCTGGTGACTGGATGAAAGGTTGGTGTTTATTCATGATTTGCTTTATCAGCTTGTCACTGTGAGTGGAATCCAATCTGTTATTTACAGTGTAGTTTAACAAACTGGATTAGGTGTCAGTATAAAAACCACCAAATTGCCACAAAAATAATCTCAGGGCACTTCACATAGTAATGTCTGGATCGTACAATATTATGGAGAAAAGCCCAACAAATCTCTATTGAGAAAGCACCTGGCAACAGCGGAGGTACAGCAGATTAATTTTTAGTGAAAACAAATATTAGTTGTATGTTATATTAAAGATATAATAATAAATATACAAGCAAGGATAAGAAACATGGCATGATACAGCACAGTATTAAATTTTAAGTAGCCTTGAATGTAAGAGACAAATCAATCAGTTGGGAAAATGGCAGATTTTACAATTTAGATTTAAAAGTGTCAAGCTGAGGCTCATTCATGTCATCAGCAAGTTGGTTCCATGTTTGCTTAAGTAAAAATAATCACACACACTTTGTGCTGTGGGTATTTTTTACTTTCAATACTCTGTACTTACAGTACATGCTATTACATAGATCTTTAGTGCAGGACTTTTATTTGTAATGGAATATTTTTACAGTGTGGTATTTGTACTTAAATGATCCAAATACTTCATACAGCACTGAGTATATTGAATATTTTCTCTTTAATTCATGTCTTGTGTGTTCGGCAGGAGATTTGACTGTTCACGTTTAAAGAACAGGAGCAACAACCATCAACTGGATAACAGCTTTGGACAAACTGGGAACCAGACTCCAACTGGACTTTTAGCTTTAAATCAAGAACTTAACTAAACTTCTGCAGAACATGTGAAGCCACCAACAATGGTGATACAAGAATACATGGGGAAAAGTGGTTTGATAAGGAAAACAGTCTCGGAAATATGAGAAAATTGTTGACATCAGCCCAGAGATGATTGCTTTGGAAATTAGAAATAGGAGACAATCTTCAGTGTACTAACATTTAAGCTTTTTTATGATGCCTGGAGAGACTGAGGAAACTGTGACATGTGGGCAACAAAAGTTGGGAAGGATGGTCATCGGAGGAAGAGGAGAATGGGAGGGGAACATGAAGCGTTCTCTGTCTTTCACCACCCTCAGCACTATTGCCATCCAGGCTGGCCAGTCACAGATTGTCATCTCTGTTCTCAGGGTATGTAAAAAGCCCAGCTCTGATGGTAGGTTAATACAAAACCTCCACATTAAACTGATGCTGTAGACAGTGCTGCTAAAACCCAGTGGATCCAGGTCAGATCCAGATCCTCGTCCTCTAGTTGTCCCTGTCTCTTTTTCTTGGCTTGGTACATTACAGCCCTTTAGAAAACATGGATGCATATGGATTCACTGAAATCTGATAACTCTATTGAAAACAGAAATAGTATAAATGTATTCTAAGCCTGGTTTCCACCAAAGACACCTAAGCTCACTATGACAGAAAGTTTCCTGACTGATGTGAACTGAGACGTAAAACACATTGATTGCAACGTTAGGTAGCACTTAACATTTATATACTCTGTTCTGTTTGTTTTTGTAAGTGATTTTGTACTATTTGATGTACTTTCTGTAGTTTATTTAGAGGACCCGAGTGCATGCACCTCCCCAGGAACAATTTTTTTTGCATCTGGTGCATAGAGTCAAGAGTAATACTAGCACCTTTTTTTTATTTAGGCCCAAATATTTTTAGTTAGGCCTAATTGTTTCTTCTTGTTATTTTTCAAAAATCTTGATAGTCCCACAATAATACAAAATTGTACTGGAGAAGCTTGTTAAATAATCAGGTAAAGAATTTAACTAGCAACTGTATTCTGAATCCACATTGGCCTGGTTTTATACCTCATCACAGCACTGATAGCAGCCTCAAAGGTGGTTGGTGATACTAGATAACATTCTCTTGCAAAAATTTGGATATTTTGGATTTAATCAGAAGTCACGTAATTAGTTTTTTCCTGATGGATGACAAGTGCTGTAGTGAATTGTTTCAAGTCAAATTTTTCGGTATTCTTAAAGGAGTCCCACAATAATCCATTTTGGGCCCCACTTTATTTACTATTTCTATTAATGACCTAGGATTCAAAGTAACTAGCAGTACTATGTATTTATATGCAGATGACATGGTCATTTATACAGCAGTCCTTCTGCTGATCAGGCTTTTCAATGTTTGCAGTCTGACTTTCTTCTTGTTCTTAAACTAATGTTAAATTCCTGTAAAACAAAATATATGGTTTTAACTAAAAAACAATGTCAAATTGATAATTTAAATATAGCTACACTGGATGGTGCTGTCATTGACAAAGTCTCTGGTTTTTGGTTCAACGACAAGCTGAGTTTCAAATTGCATTGTGAGAAATTAACTGCTTTAATTTCAACTTTAGTTTCTTTATAGAAACAGATTTTGTTTTAATGATTGTCACAGGAGGCAGCTGGTACAAGCAAAAGTTTTATCTGTAATAACCTATGGTGATAGAGTTTATATAGATTATCTTGTTCTGAAGCCCTTTTTTGCCAATACAGAAGTAGCAAAGATGTCCTTCTGTTGCTATACCCTGCAGAAATGGATAAGTTTAGAGGAAAGACAATACGGGCTGCACTTTATCTTCCTTTATCTCAATTTAAACTGCTTTTATATACGCAGATAAATGTGAGTGTAACAGGTGATGGATGCTGCATTTTAGTATGATTTGTTGATTTTATCAACCATATACATGCTTTTAAAGTTTCAACTGAGTCTCTACCTATTTTTGCACATTTTGGGTATTGTGAAGCATTGTATAAATCACAGACTAGTGTATCTTCTTTTTAAATCTCTTTGTTTATTATTGTTGGTTTGACATACTTGGGTGTCCTAGTATTACAACCCTTGTTATCATCTTTCCTAATTTCAGTTATTTGTTATTTTGTTTGTTTCAGTTATTTGTTTTACTAGTTTTATCTTGTGTAAACAGGGCACCCATGCAAAAGAGTGAAATGGCTCTCGCTGGACTACCCGTATAGCTAGAAATTAAAATAATTAATAAATAATTTACGTGTGCTGGTGGAGAAATATCTAATAGAGGACCCGAGGCTGAGGAAGACACATACGCCACCCCGTAGGGGGGAGCGTGGGAAATTATTTTAAATATATACACATATATATTGTATTTGTGTGCGTGTATATACATTATATATGGAAAGAGAGAGAGAGCATGTCACTTTTTACTGAATTCAGAGACATTGCTTTTTTTGTTGTTGTTTTCTATAGGGGAGCATTTCTGACACAATTAAAACACTTTCCTTTTTGAAAGACCTTGTTTATTTTATGTAGTAAATGCAGTTCAGAAGCTAAGCTGTTTTAATTTGAGTACATCATATGAGGTGTTTTTGCTGGAAACTAGGGCTGTAATGGAAGAGGTTAAATAGTGTCTTCTTGTGGAAGCTGTTTCAGGAGACACGAGTCAGTCACTGTGGTGTCCATGTGCTGTTTCCTGTTATAGCACAAACTATTTACTGATGCTGCTGTAAAGGGAAGTCAGCCGTGTGTGTGTTTGAGTCTAAAAGCTGATGTGTGTCAGTGTTTTGAAGGTGGCTGTGTATTTAAAATAGATTCTCATGTGTGTATGTGTACTGGATAAGGGAGGTATTCTCAGTGTTTTAAAAGTATGTGTGTGGTGTGCCAGAGATTCTTTATCATCACGAGGACTGCTGCAACACATACACATGTTCAGAGACGCATGGCTTGTTTGGACCTCAGAATCTGTTTACTAGCCAAGCAAATGAGCTCCTCAAGTGCAACATGGACAAATAAGGAAACAGGTGAATACAGAAGAAATTAAATAAATGTGATACAATAATTATGACGAGATACAAATTTAAGATAAGTTGCCTAATTTATATTAAGGTTTATCTAGTATATAATGTTGAAATGCTGATGAGTACTTTTGATCATATATCCCCAGTATTTTCTTCTTTTCACTGGTTGACTTTCTCCAGTCTACAATTCTTGGCAATCCTTGGATGGAACTGCATATACTACACTGCTCTACTTACTTTATGTCTGAATGTTTTATCCTTTGGGTGACCAGCTCCTGTCTCAGAGGGTTGCTGGGTTTTAAATGTACGGAGATGTGGAGATGTTTTTCAGATACTCCAGCAACATATGCTGTAATACAGAATGACGGTGCTGTGTCATTAGTTTCTTCTTCCCTGTTTGTTTTAGAGAGGCTCTAACTGGAGCTTCTTCTGGTTTTGTCAAAGGCCCAGTTTGGGTTGCCATTGGTTTTAACTGCTTCCTTGATGTGTTTGTGTTCCTGCTCCTTCCCATTGCCCTTGCAGGCATGCTCTCGGCTGAGTGGTGTAGGGTCCTGATAGCTCCAGGTTGTGCTTCAGTTGGTGGTGACAAAAGAGAAACTACTGGTCTGTGTCTGTGGGTTTCCTGTATATCTTGATATTCTGGTTTCTGTCCTCTTCAGTGTGTACAGTGGAGTCAGGAAGGCCAGAATATTTCCCCTGACAAACTCTCATGTGAACCTGTTGTTGCTGTCCACTGCACTGATGTGTTCTGTGAAGGCTTCCACTGGCTTAGTTTTAATTTTGACCCAGGTGTCACCCATGTTTCTGAACCAGCGGCTAGTTGCAGTTCCTACAAAGGAGCTCTGCTTCTTCCAAGGCACCGCTGTGTTTCTGTCTGTAAAAGCCCTAAAAACTGCCAGTCATCAGACAGAGATCAAGCAGAGCACATATTTGGTCTGGGCTATGGTTGTTCCTGTTGTATAGCATGTTGTCTTGTTCCCTATCAGACTTGACTGACTCCAAGGTTGGACTGCAAGGGAAGGGACCTCATAGCATACCATAGTTTCATTTGAGTTCAGTTTCTGTTAACAAAATCCTGAGAGTTTTTGATGTGATGGGTGGTGTTGCCAACCAAAGGAGCTAATATGGTGGCTAGATGTTTGGAAATATTGTAGGTAGTTGATGCAGCTAATAATGGGACTTTCTTGGAAGTCCATACATGCGAGCGTACAGGCAGTAGTTTGGTGTTTGGCCCTGGCTTTATCCTTCTCCAGTTGTTGCAGGCTGTCTATTACCTTGTACTTAAAACTGTTGGTAGGATCTCACCTGAGCACTTCATTGATAGATGTGTCTTTACGTAGGTCAGTCATCTTGGAGTGGTAGTCAGCTGGGTTTAGTACCAATGTGCATCTCCTTTTATCAGATGGCAAAATGGTGATATTCTGGTCTTAGGAATGTCACTGCCTTCCTTTGCTGGAAACTAGGGCTGTAATGGAAGAGATTAAAGAGTGTCTTCTTGTAGAGGCTGTTTCAAGAGACATGAGTCAGTCGCTGTAGTGTCCATATGCTGTGTCCTGTTATAGCACAAACTATTTACCACTCAGCTGTGGGGCACCCCAAATTTAAATGGTATTTTTGGGTTTTACTCCCATCAGAGCAGAGAAACTGATTTGGTCAAAGTCACTAACAACCTTAATAGAACTGGACCAAGGCAAATCTGCTGTTTCCTTCTCCTCCTTGACCTAAGCTCGGCATGTCATGGTTCGGACTTATGTTTCCTGGTTTTCTGTTGTTTTTCCTCAGAGTCCCTGTCTCTCCTGCCACATCATATATATGCCCCTTTTCCATTTTGTTAACTTTCCCATGCTCTTCACCAGATTGTTATGTTTTATTCCTGAACAGATCCTGGTTTCCATGTGTTGGAACAGCTCTCAGAAGGTGTGCATTTGACCTTCTGTGAATAGCTACTTCCTCAACATACCTACATGGTGTACTCACCTCCAATCCTGCAACCAATCCAGCTCCTTCCTCATTCTCCCACGAGTAGCCACCTCTGCCATGCCTGGTTGTGACAGAATGAACCAGCCTGCAATGGACCCAGCCGACACAGACCAGGAGTAGAAGATAATTATCCACCTGGGTGAGGCTCTGAACACCCAAGCAAAAGCCACCAAGGACCCACTGGAACTCCTTGACCTCATGAGTTGAATGCAGGAGCTGGTGAGCAGTCACCCAGGGCTCATTCAGTCTGTGCGGGGGTTGGCCTGAGATTTGGTAGCAGAGCGCAGGGAGGATGCATTTCTCTTCCTGGAGGAGTGTGAGAGAAATGGCTCTTATCTGCCTGGGGCCAAGAGACTCCCCGACC